AAAACACTGAACTCAATAAATACCAAAATACCCCCGAAAGACAATTGGTCAACACAAAACTATCTCTACTCGCCGAGTCACCCCGCTGACACGTCGAGTCCTTATGCTCTGAAAATCCCATAGCACGACTCAACTCGCCGAGTCACCCCAAGACTCACCGAGTCCCACAACTCTGAGTCTAATCGCACTCAACTTACTGAGTCATCCCTTGACTCACCGATTCACAGCTCAACCAGGAAAGGTTAGGACCTCACGACCAGACTCGTCGAGTTCAAGGCTATCTTTAACAACTCGCCGAGTTGTTCTTCCAGCTCGTCGAGTTTCTACCTATCTTCAAGCGACTCGCCAAGTACACCCATGTGACTCGTCGAGTACCACTAGCTCTTAACCCATACAGAGGCTTTCCAAGCCATGCAGGGTCTCAAATCCATACATCTACTCTTCTACAAGCCATCCATCATGTAAAGTGGCAAACTTTACGTGAATCCAAGGAGATCTAAGCATAATATACTCTAGGGCTAGGGTTTGGGACTAAAAGGCTTCATCAACAACTCTTGAACAGGGACTTTATGCTCTTTTGGATCATCACTACACTAGATCTGAGGTAGCAACCTCATATCCAACCTCCAAACTCAAGATAGCACTAGATATACTCCCAAAAATCCCACAAATGATAGATCTAGATGGATAACAGCTCAAGCAACGAATCATTACCTCAAGAGAAGACTCCAACAGAAGAATAAGCCAAAACCTTGTAAAGCCCCTTGCTCCAAGCCTCTTAATCTTCAAAGATCTCTTCAACAACACTCCTTCAAGATCCAAATTCTCTCTAATTCTCTCACAAACAAATATTAGGGTTTCTGGACTTCAAGGGAGAGTAAAGAGGTTGGGGAGAAGGTATTATGTTCTTTATATAGGGCTCAACCCCCGAGATTAGGGTTTTTTCCACACAGCACCAACTCACCGAGTCCAGCCACCGACTCGCCGAGTTGTCCACTTAATACGCGACCAGAAGCGCTACCCATGGACTCGTTGAGTTGACCATCCACATTTTCACTTTGAACCCTGAATTTGCACTCGTGAACTCGGGATGTTACATAAAAGCTCCATATATCACCCATGGACTTCCATATAAGCTAAGCCCATTTCCAAATGAGTGTTAGCCCACACCATATAAATATAATAGTCCATGATTTAATTAGTCTTCCTTTTAATCACTAAATCAATTCATAATTAAATTAAGATTAAAGCACAATTAAATAATACGACTTTATATTAATATATTATAACTTATAATATATTAATAAAACATAAGTATACAATTCTCATAATATTATCCATAAATCGTTTGGGTGAAGTGCAACCCAAATGGACCATGCCGGTTCGGGTCAAGTATATACCAAATAAGTTATGGACTTAGACACTTTATCCAACATCAATCTATGGTCAACACTGCTGTTGTTGGTCCCTTGAAAATAAAACCGGAGACTAGCTATGACGACAATGACAAGAGACTGATTAATCTTCATGTTTAAGCCAAAGCTGCAGTAGAAACTCTCTTCACTATCTTGTGTATCATCTTGTGTAGAATTCTGACTCAATCCAAGAGATGATGGAAACGCTGATAGTGGCTTATGAAGGCACTATGGAAGTACAAGTCACAACCATTAACCATCTTAATTGGAGATATGAGCACTTTTTCACTCAATAAGGTGAATCACTAACGCAAACATTTAATAGGTTTAACTATTTGGTTAATGATATGCATGGGCTAGGAGTTATCATGCATTCTTCTCAGTAAGTTCTAAAGTGCATGGACTCTCTGGGAAAAAGTTGGGAACATCATGCTGATGTTCATAAAAATAGTGAAAAGATCGACACCATAGATTTGAACTCCTTGTTTGGAAACCTTGATAATTATGAAGAGACTAAAGCTCTTCATAAAGATATCATGAAGGAATCCAGCAAGGAAAAATCTGTAGATTTGGTTTCTCAAAAGGTGGCAATAAAGCACATCAGCGACTCAGATATCTCAGATCAGGGTGAAGACAACGATGAAGACCTCACTAATGAACTTTTTTCCAGTGTTGAACTTATTGTCAAATGTTATGAAGAAAGTAGATCAACCAGGGGAAGAAGAGTTTAGTTAAAGGGTGGAAGTTCAGGAAGATCCACTTTAAAAAAAATAAATAAATAAAAAAATCTCAGGTAACTATTTTAATTGTGGAAGCCTTGACCATTTTCTCAGGGATTGCAAAGAGAAGAAAGAAGATCAATGTGCTAAGATCTATAAAGTGATATACAATAAGTTGTTGGCTCACATGAAGAGTGCAAACATCTCTCTGCCTAAGGCGTTCATTGTAAACAAGAGGATCATGAAGAATGGATGGAAGAAGAGGAGACATCTGAAGATAAGGGGGTAAATGTTAAGGGTCTAATGGATCTTATCAATGAATCCCATGATGGTAATCTTAACATGTGTGACGTTGATAATTCTCATGTTGTTTAAGGATCATATCTAAATCTAGAACATACTTCATATCTAGACAATGGGTGCTCTAGACACATGACTGGTCTCATGTCCCTCTTTACAAAATTTGTGAGGAAAGATAGTACTAAGGTGGTTTTTGGAAACAACAATGAAGAATTTTTCACGAGAGTGGGAACTTTTAAGAGGAGGGCATTCAATCTAAAGGAAGTGTTCTATGTTAATGGCTTAAAGAGCAATCTCTTATCCATCAGTCAACTTTTTGATGTTTGTTATAAACTTCTTTTCAATTGCCATAAAGTAAAGGTTTTTGATTCTAATAACAAAATTGTGCTTACTGAACTTAGGGACAACAATGTTTATATGGTTTGATTTTGTTTGTTTTGACATTTCTACTTTAGGAGTTTTTTCTACTTTATGCTTTGCTACTTTTAAATCACTGAACATAAGCTTTCTAGATTTTGTATTCTATATAACTTTTTTACTTCTAAAATTGTTTTTAACTTTTATTTTACCAAAGGAGTATACATTATACAAATTTCTACTAACATTGCCTTCATGTTCTGCTCTATCGATAATGATCCTATCCAGTTTGCTTCTTTGAAAGGATTATCACGTCATTCCTTGAATGCATCACCCTTCCTGTGGAGCTAGTTGACAATGAATCTATATCTTTTCTATAGCACCAACTGCTCTCTCACTGATGCTGATTCCCACGCTGATTGACTAGTTGCATCATGTTAATGAGACCAGATATGAGAGAACTGTGCCATTAAGTGTTCTTTTGGATACATATCTCTTCTATATTGAACTATCTATTTCTATTTCAATGGGATGAGATGAATTTAGGTGACATAGTACGTCTAAATTTTATTAACGTTGTCACTAAAACACAATCCCCTCAGAGATCCAAATGAATTTTCAACAAGACAATGGTCTCACCTTCTCTTCCTTCATGGATTACAATGAGTGAAACCCTCAAGTTTTTCATTGGTGACTTTTATAACTCGAGGGTTACAATATTGAATCCTTTTAATTTGTTGGTTAGAAGGATTGGTTCATGCTCTTCTTTCGTTCTTGGTGACCATGAAGCTTGGAATCAATCTATAACATCTCAACGATTAAAAGCATTCCCTCTCCCTGTTTATTATGAATTGTGTTTTTGTTTGATATATTTGATCTTGTTTGCTCTCTTTTATAGACAATTGTTGGGGGGCAGACATCTCAAAGAAATGAAATTAATCAATTAGTAGTTACTTCAAAATATTTACCCTTGATGATACTATGCAAAATATTGTCCGCCTTTATGATTCTTTTGAAAAAGGCTATGTTGAGGGCCTCTGAAAGGGCTGTATATTATATTTCCTTGTTTGACTAACTATTTTGTTGTATTCTTATACTATTTATTTTTCTCTCCCGGACCATATTAGGTGAATTGATGTTGAACTTTATAGTTCTAGACTGCAACTTAACTCTATGATACGGAAGTTAAACCACTTATTTTTGATGAGTTAACACCGTTTATGATTCATGTTGATTCCACCTCAACATAACTGAAATAATTCATTCTTTCCTCAAAATTTTCTTAATAAAACTTGATGATTTACTATGATATACAACACACTGATAAATTTTTGAAACTTTGTGCTGATGGTTAGTCTATGTACCATAGACTATCACACGCATCAACCTATTCTTGCCCTTAAAATTTTCTTTAAAGCTTTATGATTAAGCGTAATGTACCATGTGCTGATGAGATCTTGAAAAATCTATGACGATGGTTAAGCTAAAACACCACACCTTATCACACGCATCAAACTATTCTCTCCATAAATTATTCTGTAGAATTTTATGATTCAGCGTATAAATCCAGATGCTAATGAAAATTTGATAATTATGTGCCGATAGGTATAGAACTGTCTGTGATATATTACATGCACCTACCCAATATTTCCCACCAATTCTTCTATTTATGAAGTTAATGATTCACTGTATTAGCATACACTGGTTAAACTTCGACACTCTTTCTTGATGGGTACATTTCATATCAAAATGTATTACACACATCATATAGCTCTTGCCCTTTTTCTTGTAATAAAAGTGATTAATGAGTCAACATATGAAGCCACAGGCTGATGAGATCTTACAATACAATGTCACTGAATGGTGGTTTAATCCTACACTATTAGCAGACATCACAAACTTATTGGTTGACCATCACAAGTCACTCTCTGATTGCTTATGCTGATGTTCGTTGTCGCTGATGACATGTCTCACTGATGTAACTTCCTTATCTCAAAGGTAACATTTTAGATGAAGATTGAAAGGTCAATTATTATCTTGGGACACATGTATGACGAAGATCACTTCAGTCATGATTACGTAAAAAGGAAGAAAATTTTAGTGTAAATTGGGAATACTCTGTCCTAGGTCACTTTTACAAGATATTCAAGCAATTAGATCTCTCTCTTTCAAAAAAGGATCTCTCAACTATCATACTCAATCTTTAACCATGACGAAATCTCTGTACAAGTTTCTCCCCAACACTAATGTTGTTAAAGGCCCGCATGCCCTAGATTCTCCCATCATCATTCAAGCGAACAATGTGGCGTTCTCTGATTACATCCCAAAGCAGTTCGACAACTCAGGAATCGAAGATTTTTTTGACTATGTCAAGAGTTGTACTCATAGATATACATTTTGTGACTTCCTAGACCCATTCTACCCTAAACAAGTATGTGAGTTTTACTATTTCTGCTCTGTTGATTCTGATGCTCAAAGTATTAGTGGAAAAATTGGAGATGGACAATATAGGTTTACTTGATGTGAAATCCTTTCTAAATGTTCTTCGTCTTCCTCGATTAAAATTACTTTGAAACTCCATCGGGAGAAAGGTGTAAGTCTGATCATGAAAAATTAGGGTATAATTTCAATCTTCAGGGCATCATTCGTGATCCATACAAAAACACTCTTCGTTAATGTTTTAGTGTAGGATGGTAGTATTTAACAGGTGTCATTGGCAAATGTCTTGGATACAAGACTGGGAGTTTCGACCAACTGAATCTCTTTGTGCAAAGGATTTTATTTTCTATTGTGTACAACAAAAAAAACTGGATTTTGATTAACATTTTCTTGATCAAGTGATTGACTGCATCACTGGGAACAAGAAGCTAATGTATGTTTCCTATCCTCGATGGCTTGGACTGATCTTAGATCGTAAGGAAGGCTATGTTGAAATTCATGGGATTATCATTCCAATTCCCGCTCTTTCTGCAAAGATCATTAATACAACTCCTACTAAGGATGATTTGCATATTACTTTAAAGATGAAAAAATGGATTGACAAATCATATGTGGTTGAATCCTCTGACTAAAAAAAGAGAATGATGAGGATAATAATGAAGAAGGCACTGATAATAAAGAAGACACTGATGAAGAAGAAGACATGAATGATAATGAAGAAGAACCAGTCACTGATAAGGGAGAAGACCTTGCTCAGGGAATGAACTCTTCTTCAAGGATGAACAAACACATTCGATTCTCATCCACTTCTTCATCCACTCCCTCTACAAATGTTGTTGTATAATGTGGATCAACCCTACATCTAGTGGAAACTACTGAGCGAATGATCCAAGATGAGTCAGTGTCTCCTTCTCCTCAAGCTGAGAATGTTCCTCCAATGCCAACACGTATTAAGGCTGTGGCTTTTTATCAGGATGATTAGGAAGAATCCTCCTCCACCACCTCCTTTACCATCTTATCCTCTTACTCGCATTCCTTCACCACCTTTTGGGTATCCTCTTCCTTATGATGTTATCAAAAAGGGGGAGAATAATCAAGAGAGACATGATTAGCAAATGCAAATGGTAGTGCATGAGATATCTAAACTGGGAAAGGATGAAGCTAATTCTCAAAAGCAGATTGTTGTTGCTGCCATTCCAAATGCTAATGCAACAAATGATAATCAAACCATTCCAGAAACCCATGATCAATCCGATACCAATGACTATGGAAGGTTTCTTGATCTTGGATTCATACCACAAGCTATTGTTCCTACTATTCCTTTGAAAGTTATTTACCCTAGGCCTGATAATTCTCGACACAAATCGCGACACGACCCACGAACCGACACAAAATAAATGAGTTTAAGTGAGTTTTTGGACCCATCAACCCGACAACATGCCAACCCGTCAACCCATTTATTAAACAAGTTATATATGGGTTTCTTAAAAAAATATACGGGTTGGCCCTCCAACCATTTTAGAATTTTAATAAAAAAATCATATATTTTTTAAATGTATTATGTATTATACACTATATATTTTATACTCTATACTAGGATAGGATACTTGATACCATTAACTGTTTGACATTTGGTGTTTGCCCTAAATAATCTCAATATCTCGCAAACAAAATCGAAGAATCCCTCTCTTGCTCACCTCTTTATGACGAACGATAGAACAAAATCACGAAGAATGGTAGCATGAATGATTGAATCATTATCGAATCACGTAGATCCCTGAATGTGAACGACGGGTGCACAACACAGTTGAAAATTGATTTATTATGATCCAACCCACGAACATATGGACCCAAATCTGACCCATGTACCTGCCAACCTGTGAACCCATATAAATAAATAGGTTGACGGGCTATATATGGGTTTATGCTCCAAACCCACTAACCCGTGACCCGCCAACCCATGACCTCTATAGTTAATTGGGTGATGTTCGGGTTGGTATATTTTGACCCGCCAACTAGCGGCCCGTTAACCCGAACATGACATGATTGCCATGCCTAATTTACCCTGATTCTTACTTTGAGGGGGAGGTTCCTCAAGGAAATAACAATAACATTAAGTCTAATAATGTTCAGATTAATCCATGAAAGAGGAAGGGTTCATGCATAGGGGAGCTCATAACGCTGAAGTTGGAAGTTCTTCTGCTGTTGGTGATCCTTCAACACCTCCTCCTTCCAAGAAAAGAAAGCTCATCTTTGATCTAAATGAATTGGATAAAATATGGGGTTTAACAATTCATGAAGTAATAGAAATCATGATAGAAAAATAATGTTGACAAAAGAAAGAACCTAGAAAAGGAGATTGTCTATCCGTCAAATTTTCTCAATCCATTCCTTCTGGTGAAGAAACTGTTGACGTTCCAATCACTAAAGATCAAGTTAAGAAAATTCAGCTCTTCAATAATAGTGAGGAAAAGCAACACAGGGTTTCATAGCTGAACAACAGGATCAATCGAAAGAAGTTTGGAGATGTTCTGACTCGAAGAACAAAACATGATCCCATTATCAAAGTGAGATGCACCAGACCAAGGAATAAGACTCTAAAGCTTCACTTGATCAGGAAGAAGATTGAATATAAATACAATGAGGTTGTATTTTCTCATGATCTAGTGAAATTTGGCTACAATGAGTGAATGTAAATTCAAGAAATTTTTGACAAACATAAAGGGTATTCATGCTCAGGAGGTGAAGTTGGTAATTCAGCAGCTACTCAACAAAGTCAAGAAGTTGAACCTTGTGTCATCAGTTGGTCGATCTAGACCAGCTTCCTCAAGAAGAACAAGTGCTCCCAAACAGTCCAAGAATACCAAGTTTCTTCTTCCTTATGGCATGAGGTATATCAATAACGAACTACCAACATGTGTTAAACTAGTTCAATATATGTTCATTCGAGAACCAGAGCATGTCATTTTCTATCTTGACAGTCAAAATCAAATGTGATTTAGACACATTAACGATCTTCTTGCTGCTCCCATTAAACATTTGTTTCATCTTCGCTTGGAAGGACTTAGTCATTTTGAACTGGAAAAAGGATATCATGTGGTGATATCTCTAGAGCTAAGTAAAAAATTTGAAGAGCTTCAAATCGATGAATTCAGATGAGTTAAGCCACAGATCTTGAAAGAAGATGACAAGTTCTACATTGTTTCTTCTGATGACTCTAAAGAAGAAGATTATTTTTGACATCATCAGATAGGGAGAGATTGTAAGTTCACATATTATGATATGATGAGTCAAACACTCCATATGTTATCTGTCAGCGACAGTGTGTACGTCACTATTAGCGTCAGCATATCAAGTTTATCAGCGTTAGCGTGAAGATAATTATTTTATGTAATCTTTTGTATATTATGTAATGATATATATATATATATATAATATATATATATATATATATATATATATATATATAGGATATATCACAAATCCGATATCCTTGTGATGAGGATCTATTCTTAGTATAGATAAGATACAACCCCTTCAATCAAGGGATATACTTGTATAGATTAGTATATATTTAACATTACGGTAAAACCCTAATGTAACCTATAGCTTGGTGTCATAATCGTCTTTGTGACAACCATTTTCTTGGTAAAAGACAATTTGGTGAATCATCTGTGTTATTTACCTTTCCGTTCATTAATTGCTTAGTAACTTTGTTTTTTTTTTACTTGAAGTGTATCCGATCATCACAAACCTTCAACAAGGGATAAGGGTTACTAGGTTTTTTAATTATCCAAATTTTGAGGCATATAAAATTGTAATCAAGGAAAATAGAAACCCTAAGGGATCCTACAAATTTTCAAAAATAAGGGTGGAGGCTAGGGTTTCAAGAATTCTAGCCATTATCGAAACGTTCAACCTTTAGGGTTTAATTTCCATAAACTCTAATTTTCATCAATTCACTTTTATGCACGATCGAATAGAAAACTAAGGCTTTGATATCACTAATGGGTTTTCTAGGTTATAAAAAACTCATGTTACGGAAAAACTCCTAAACTCTTAAGTTCACATGCAACCTAGAACGGATCTATGTTTTCTCTATTGATAGCTAGAAACTATGATTATCAAGAAACCCTAGAGAGAGACTATGAAAATTGAAATTTACATAAAGATTAGCGCTACAAACTTCTTGATTATTATAGTAAATAATCAATTTAAATCCTCTTGTAGTTCCTTGGAATGCAAACGCGAAAAGCTTGGATATATCTAATGACTTGTACAAAAAACCCGAATAACTAGAAGACTTGAGGAGAAGGGAGGCTTAGAGCAAAATTTTAACTCTTGAGTCTTAAAAGGAGTAGACGAAAATATAAGACCCTAGGGATCATATTTATAGTTGATAAGGAAGCCTTAGATAAACCTAATTTGAATATAATAATAATATCTTGAGTTAATTAATTATCTAACTCCTTAATTATCCAATAGGATTAATCTAGAAAACCATAAAATCCTAGCCTAAAATCGGCCATGCTTAGAGATGGTTCTAGAAACCCTACTTTCCTCAACTATTGAACAACTACAACATAGTTCCTATACTTCCAATTAATTCTAATTAACTTGAAGTTAGTCATAATTAATTTCATATTATATATTAATTAATTATTAGTATTTTTAATTCATATATTAACCATTAATACATTAACTAATATTTTTTACAATTTATTAATCATATAATAAATTAACAAACCAACATCCCTTTGCAAAAATCATTCTATTCAGTTATCAGTTATGAAAATATACCAATTTAATTATCAGCTGAGACACTTTAATACAACAATTTTTCCTATTACTTTTAACGTAAATTCATCACAAATGGATCGCAATCTGCAAGTCAATGGAACTAATTGTCGATTCTGCTGCATTTTGCGGATAAACACTAGAAATAATTCCTTTTATTGAAATTCATAATATTCAATGGAACAAATAATTCATGATTTTTTTTTCAAAACCTTAAAATCTCTTGGTTTTGTTTTAGGTTGTATATGAAAAATAAAAAGAATTGAGTTGAATTGATATAAAACTAATAATTGAAACTAAACTACATTTCAACATTCAAAATGAAATTAATTAACGAAAAAAACATTGTGCATAAACATTTTAATCTTGCAAGTTAATTAAAATACATTTATGTTTATTCTAATATTGTTTGTGATTTAATAACCGGTACATGTCTTAGCGGATGAACTACTGCGTATGACTGGTTATTATGTTGAGTTTATGAAATTGTAATGGTTGATAGTGGAATCTTTCATTAAAATATCAATTTACAATTTAAATATTATCTGAATTTTGTTGTTAATTCTCCAAATTTAATATGTATTATTTTTATTATATAAGTGATCAAGCCATGTTTTGACGGTGTATTACACATCAAGAATGTTTTCCATTCAAATATTAGAGGTCGTATTGGTGATCACAAAAAAATGCTTTTGGAAATCTCCATAAGGATATATGTATACATAAAATATATTCAAAATTTTTAGTTAAATCGACAAAAATTATATTTCCATAGTTAATAATACGAATGACTTGGTTATTTGTTCCATTCTAAGCTTTCAGGGTGGAAATCCAAGACATTATCATTTGGAGGTCACCTTATGCTCATCAAATATGTTCTTCGGAACTTACCAAGTTATTATCTGTCACTTTTTCGAGCCCCTATGGGAGTGATTGAATCCCTTGATAAGATTTGCCGCAGATTTCTATGGGAGGAACGGAAAGAAACAAAAAAATCAATTGGGTGGCATGGGAGAAGATTGTGTCAACAAAGGAGCAAGGGGACTAGGTGTTTGCTCCATCATATCACTAAATATAGCTTTACTAATTAATGAAAGTGGCGCCTAAAAAAAGAACCGGAATCACTTTGGGATTGGGTCATTGGCAGGATTCACAATCTCATAAACAAAAGCAATGGTATACTTGCATAAAAGGAGAATCACTGGAGTGTGGGGTAATATAGCAAATATTAAAAATGATATTGAAGATTTGGAGATCAAGTTCAATGATATCTTTAAAAAACCTATTAAGTCTAGTGTGGAAACATAATTTTGGAGAGATTGTTGGGTTGAGAACACCACTTTCAAGGAAAAATACACTGGCATATACGAGTTAGAAAAGAAAATGTCGTGTTCAGTGTCTAAGTGAATAAGTGCTAATGGATATACACGTAGTTGGTATGTATGCCCAAGTAGGGTTGGCTTGGTAGTGGAGTACAATATTCTAATGCGTGACATTGCTAATACACATATTAGTACTGGAACAGACCTAATTCAGTGTGCTCTTGCACCTGATGGGGATTGTAGACCTGTTGAGAAGCAAAATTGAAAACAAAACAAACATAAATGAAAGTGAACCGAGAATTAGTTGGGTGAAACTTGTTCCGATTAAGGTGTCGACTTTTATTTGGAGAGCCAACATGGGGAGTATTCCATCTGCTATAGAACTCAGTCGAAGGGGTATGATGCTAAGTTCTACTTATTGTAGCTTGTGTATTAGCGGAGAAGAAAGTTGTGACTACCTTCTGATTAAGTGCCCTTATGCGACTGAGGCGAGGAACTTAATTTTCCAATGGTGCAACATAAACAGTCCTCAGCTTGAGACGGTTGGAGATACGATTCAATTTGTTGTGACTTGGGGATGGAATGTCAAGAAGAAAGAGTGGCTTACAGCTATATGTTATGGTCTCGTATTGTGCCTTTGGAAAGCTGGGAACGACCGAATCTTTAAGGTAGTGTTTAGCGTGTCTTCTCGAATAGTGAACAACATTAAATCCCCTTAGAAATAATAATAATAATTTCCATTGTAATGTTTTTAATTGAAAATTACATAGACATAGTGGGTAAACGAGCAACAAACTGTACCGCAACCCCTTTTTGGATGGCAAAACTAATTCTTTTAAAAACAACATCTATAGATCTTGGAGTCATAACATTACAATGCATGACCCGTTGGACTCTATTGAGCAGCTCTACAGCTTTTGGCGGAAGAAAACTGAAAGTATCAAATGCAAAGGGTATAAACATGTGTTTATTTTCCATGCACGCTTTCTCATGTTTTGCCACTTTGCTTGATGCAGCTTTTAAAGCAGCTGGACCCACTGTGAGAGCTCCACACCCAAGCCCACAAGAGGGGAGACCCCTGTTAGATCCACACATGCATGTTTTCCTCCAGCCCATTCAAATACTAAAACATCAGCTGGTTTAAGTGTTGATCTTCCTTCCAATGGGTCAGTCAGAAAGTTCACAGGTGTCTCTTTCTTGGCTGAAACCCCGACGCATCTAAATATGTCAAACATAACATCCCTAACCAGATCGTGTCGGTACTTGAAACCCGGGAGCTCTTTACAATGAACTGCATGCTCCCCAAACGAGTCCAAATACGCCTTACGACAAACAGAGCAAGTCTCGTTAGTCGGAAATAAAGGGATCATAAGGCGATACTTGAGGATGGCATGATACTCTACTAGCAACATATGCTGGCCGATACCATCAATAGGAATAGTCATAAGAAAATCCTGAGCATGTGGGGCCCGTAGACACTCAAAAATAGCTTTTTGCCTAATCGTCATGTCGAAGTGAACTTCCATGTGTTGGACAATTTTACTAAAAAGGGCACTCGAAAATGAACGTTGGGCTTTTGGAGGGGCGGTGTCCTTATTAGTGAAACCACTAAAGTCAAGCACGAAATCGTATCATGAAGACAGGCCAAAGCACAAACATAATCTGAATCCATACCACATATGCCGTATTTCGTAAGATGTGGTATTGTAACACCCACGATTGAGCCCGTGAGGCAACAAAAGCATATGATGAAGCCTCTACCGCTGAGTACAACCCCAAACCACCAAATTTAAATAGTAACGAAGCCAGTCGCCATTGAAGGTCCCCAAAGAACGAACCCCCACGAACCACAATATCTTCAATCGACTCACGTAACCCTTTATCAAAACACAGAGCAGCCTCTTCCATATGAGCGGGTTGGCACGTTCTCAGACCACAGAAAAGTTTGGCGATGCTCATGCAAGATCGAAGCAAAAGAAGCTCACTTTGGGGGTCATGTAACTGTGGTAGAATGCGTATCAAATCAACAGCCTTGGAAGCCCTCTTCATGGCTAACCCGCTAATAAAATTCACGTCTCTACTAACAGCTCCCCTAAGAAGCTTCACCCCCACTGACAGTCGGCTAATGTCTGCAAGGAATAAACCTGAACGACGCTTCCTACCATCGCATGAACGCCAAAATAGCTCAATTTTCTTGATATTCAGCTCAAGCCCCAATCCTGGGCCTACCACCCTAATGATGTCTAATACTCTAGCCACCTCCTCTGAATATCCAATCACTGTCCCGTCATCAAGGTACCAAGCATGAAGAAGAAGCTTACAATTGTCTCTAATTTGATGTATAAATGGGTGTAGTAAAAGAGCAAAAAGAAGAGGTCCCAAAGGGTCACCTTGTTGGACCCCAGTAGTGGACCAAATATGCTTATCTCCCAAATACAACATTGCTGTATGGCCATATAAAATTTGACCCATAAGGAAATGGAAGGGCACCTCATCATGACCTCGTGAAGTAAGGTAAATCTATCCACTAAATTGAAGGCATTTGAGAAATCCACAATAAGCATTGCAAGAGATCCGTCATCATGTCGTGCACTCGACACCCTATTAACACTATGAAGAACAACTTCAGCACCACTCGACACACCTACTCCAAATTGAAAGTCATTAAGGTATTGCGCCATTTCTTTATCAAATCCTTTCATAGCAACCTTCGAGATCAAACACCTCCATATAGTGCCCACGAAAATAGGACGGATTCCATTGTCAAGTTTTAGAAGAGGAGTAAGAGGTGCAGACACCACAAATTCCGCCAAACATGAAGGACATCTTCCCCCTAACCACAAGTTAACCACTACGGTGATGGCATGTAGGAGATCTGTGGCTATAGCAGATCCTACCCCACATAGAGCATCCAAAATATGTTGAGCTCTCAAACCGTCTCTCCCGCAAAAAGTTCCTTTAGGAAACGATTTAATACAACCAAGGACATTATTAATATCTGCTATAAGGGGAGGCTGAGAATAAATCCCTTGTATTTTTATGGGTGAAATAATGTAGATGTAGTAGCAATTGTGGTATGTGGGAAGACTCGATTGTTTCCCATTCCTCCCTCTTTAATTTGTATTTATGTTTAATTGTATTGTTTTTTTGTTCTCCTTTCCCCTTTTAGATTCTCATTATTTGGGGTGGTTTATAAAATTTCAACCGTTTCCAAAAAAAATAAAAAATAAATAAATAAATAAACAAAAAAACTCAATTATTTGTAACACAGGTTGGTGCAAAATTTAATTATTAAACAACACATAAAGTTACACTTAGTTTAAATATATAACACCTAACGACACATATATAACGTGCTTGCCAAAAAGATCGCTATATACATTAATTTGACATGGAGAAATTATGTATATCTTTCTACCCATTAAAATGATAACATGTGTTATATTAGTATTAATATGTATTAAAATATCATTAAGTGAACATTAAATATTATATATGTCATTATTAAATTGGATAAAAAGATTTATAAAAATAAAAATTAAAAGAATATTTAATTTCTCTGTTAGTGGATCCAAAAACATTTTAGGTGCAACAGTTCGGCGATCAAGAAAATGAGATATACATAATTTAATCATTAACCAAGGCCCTATTTTTTTAATTGAAAAGGAAAATGTAAATGTTAATGGTAGGAACCTTGAAATAATTATCCACCTGTTTTTGTATTGGCAACATATTATTCACTATGCAATGGCAGGAAAGCTACTTTGCTTCTTTTTGGTAATACTTCGTCCCTTTTCATACCCGTCGTATTTGTTAATAATCACACCTTTTTCTGTACAGTAATCATATTATTCTCTTTTTGTTTGCAACTCTAGCTCAAGTTAGTAATGGAGAAATGTTTTTTCCTTACTTTCTACACTTTTTTTTTTATTGCAGGCACGCACTTCATTACAATTTATTTGAAATGTTTGTAACTTTTATCTTTTTACTTTGATAAATGTGTGGTCAAATAGAAACAAAAGTAAATTACTTAAATCATCAGCATAAGTGATGTTATGGAAAAAAACGTTATTAACATATGTTAGAGTATGAATTCCTTCAGAAGCACCATGCATGTAGTCTCTTAAAAATATAACTTGTCAAATTTCAAAAATAACCGATCAACTAATGCAATTTCTATTGATCAAGTTACCAGTTCGCGCCTTCTCATGATAGTGATAAACCCTTTCGAAATATATATTTTTTATTAACTAAAAAAGAACGAACAAAAATTAAATTTTCAAAATGCAGCTGAAACACAAAACTGGGAACAAATTAAAAGTGATTCTTACCGATATATGTGATTTCTATAGTAAACAGTTAAAATGCAGATTTTATTATCCAAATGGAGTTAAAAACATGACATGTATTTATTTATAAGTTAATTAAGAAAATAATGTAATAAACCAATCCATGAATATAGATATACATAACAAAAAGTTCCTTGCGCGAAGGGTCCAAATGTCAATGCTTTTGGTATTGAAACCTGCAGAATTCAATCTCTAAAAATATATACACTATTGGTTTAAAGAAATCTTATACAGAAAATCTTGTAGTGATTGCTATGAGTGAGAGAGATAATTTTTGTTGAAATCTAAATGGAAATTATGTGGATGTTTTAGGAAGGAATTCCAAAAGCTGCAACTCTCTCTCTCTCTCTCTCTCTCTCTCTCTCTCTCTCTCTCTCTCTCTCTCTCTCTCTCTCTCTCTCTCTCTCTCTCTCTCTCTCTCTCTCTCTCTCTCTCTCTCTCTCTCTCTCTCTCTCTCTCTCTCTCTCTTTTGTCGTATAATTAAACATATGGAAAGGGTTCAAACTTCAAAGCTCGAAAGACACTAAATAAATAATCATTCAAATTTTTAACATAAAATACATATATATGATGACAATACGTATGTTCCACAGCCACGATGATGAAAACAATTCAGCTGCAAATTACTAAATACATAGCATATTGTGATTAAATAAGCGATTATGAAACCTGCCATAGCTCCATCTTCGCATCATTAATGTAGACGCCTTAAAAGTTAAAAAAAGACTTAATAACCAAATTAATCATAATATCATGAACTCCAAAATTGATCTAAGAGCATCCAAGCCGAAGCTCCAAATCCAAATCATCAGACTTTGATTCACCAAAACCGATCTCCAAATTCAACCTAATAATATCTTGTTTCTTGACAATCTCACCCTCGTTTTCATTTGGAAAACTATCATATTTACAAACCCCATAAGGCAGAATCTGAGGTTTTATCATGGTTAAATTTTGACAAGCTCTATGACGCAAACGATAGGAAGGATGCGTTGTCGAGTGTGATACACATGGAAAATTCGGTTGTGGAGAAGAGGGTGATGACGAGATCAAAGGAGGTAACATTGTTGGAGCGGATGACATATTTGAGAAACAATATGGTGAGAAATTAGGGTTAGGGTTAGGTTTTGAATCAGGGTTAGGGTGTGGGTTGTAATTAGAAGAGCAGTTGTGAGAATGAAGATGAAGATCTCTTGAAGATGGTATTTGTCTAAGTCTTGCTCTGTCTCTTCTATGAACGTTCATGTGACCCCCGAGAGCTTGAGCGGATCTGAACTCTCTCTTACAGAAAGTACACGTGTAAGATCTTGGTGGCCATGAGAACCCACCAAGCAAATCACCTCCTTCCCCAACACCATCTTGTTCAGTAACGTTCCCCCAAGAATAATTATCTGTTGTAGTGTTGCTTTCGTTCATGATGCTATGTTTCTCTGATCTTCCACCATTGTTATGATCTTCCAAGCTATTAGTATCGCTCACACTGCTTCTTTTTTTCATTGTTGTGCTTTGATCGCTCCACACACACAACCACTGATGAAAGCAAAAAGAAATGCATACACAAAGTAGAGTTTCAGATTTGGGGTTTGGAGAGAGAGTGAGAGAGTGGAAATGCCATTAAGGTTGTGGGGCATTTATCTGAAAATGTTCCATATGTTTGGTCACTACTTACTAAAACTAGAATCCTCGTCGTAGCAGGGCTACACCTTTTTGCTAAATCTAGCACTGATCTAGTGGGTGTTTTCTTCCTTTTAAATAGTGTGCCCCATTCCCTACGCATCAAAAGTCATTAGGTACCCTATTGTTTAATACTATTTGTTTCAGTATTGATACTCTTCAAATAGATTGGGATGTTTTCTTATTCACTGCTCTTAAAGTTTATATGATTACCCTCTACGTGTCGGTTTGTGGAGGCCATTGGATAGTCATATTCCACTTTTATGCTTCAATCAAACATTTTATTGGTTCAGATATATATATAATATTAAATATGTAATTTTCATAAATAGGATGGAATGGTTGTGAAAAAAGTTATATACTTATTTTATGACATTTCAGTGAAAATACATCTACATCATCGATATCACATTTGGACCGACTTTAGGGTTGTCGGAAATCTTATCAACATAGATTTAATAGTTCTTTCCATGCTTAGAATATATTAACCTGTAGTACAATTATTAGTCGAGTGCTATAGTTACACAATTACAAGAACAAAGACCTCTAACAAGAAATTAAAATGAATGTGACTTAAACAAAAATAAATGAGAATCAAGAAAGGGCTACGATGGAAAATAGAAGAGAAATTAAAGCATGTTGCGCAGTCATCTTTATCTATATGTTGGTAATCTAATTAATCTTATATCGGTACATACATAAAATGCATGTATGTATATGGAGCATATGTACTTGGATTCAGTGAATGAAATTATGATATACTCAACAGGTTTCAAATAGTGTTTTAATTTCTTTAATTTTTGTTAATCTATGTAGTATTCATAATCTAATTCAAACATCAGATTTTATAATGCAATTAATTATCAATCGGTAAACCTTCCGTTATGACTTCAGCATACATATATAATTATTTTTACATACACCACAAGAATTATGAGCAGCAAAGGGACGGATCCATGTTCTTGCAGCATGTCACGACTATTGCTTTTAGCGGTGACATGTTGCTGTTAATTAATATGTAATCCTTAATTATACGCCCGTCATTAATGCTAGTATGTTTTTTATGTTGATATATCAACGGTAGTAGTGTTGCCCCTTCTACTCATTGTCACCCCTGTTGATATTGATACTTTCTTTTTTAAATTTAAATAATTTTTTCCAAATACGAAAGTAACAATGTAAATACAGAAACGATAATCAAAAGACAGAAGTACAGAAAACAATAGAACTAAAAAAATGCATAAATCAATACAAAAGTTTAAAATTATTTGTCACACAAAATATCCATAATTAAATTATAAATAATATATAAAACTATTCAGATGTCTCCATATCATCATCTCTCTAGTTCTTGCTCCCCTCGTGTAATATTTGACAATTTGACATTAAACCCAATGTTATTTATTTATTTATTTATTTATTTTTTTGTATTTTTGTTTTATTTTATTTTAATATTTTTAAACATAAATACCATATATCTTTATATTAAACAACAAATACAAGTAGTTATGATAAATACGAACACACAAAATATGTTCAATGAGAATGACAAAAAAATATGTTCTGTGATAATGTGAATATGTTCAATCTTACATAATTAATGTCATTATCATACATTCTCACAAATTAAATTGTCTATAATTTTATTATAGATCTTTTTTATTATTCACATTTTATCAGAATATTGTCAGGATGTTTATTAAGTTGTATTCTATAAGAATGAAAATAAGTGAAAAATGATCTGTGAGGACAAAAATGAATAATAATTAATGATAATGAATGAAAATGACAATAATTATGTGAGGTTGACGGTATTCACATTACTAAACAACTTATTCTTTTTACTAATTTTCTATAATAGCACTGTCCATACCTTCACACAATAGTTGTCCATACACATTATAATTTTACCACACACACACATATATTCCCTCATCAGAAGCATAGTTATGTTAAACAAGCTATACACACCGGATACATTGCATTGAGGCATCGCGTAAGAGACAAACACAATCTTTACATACAAACACAATCTTTACATGTTCACTTGTGGTTCCAATCATCCTTTAAACTTCTGAATAAGTTAGTCATTTAATCATTATATAAACTTTTAGCAACTTAAAATCGCTTAACTCACTATTTATGGTTTTAACATTAGCAAAAAACTTCATTTTGTAGAAGCAAAAATCTCATCACTATAGACATTTTATGATGAAGTTTTTTTCATTCAATGCGTGAAGAAAGGTGCTGTTGTTGATGATAAGTTATGGTGACGTTGAATTGTAGTAACTATAACATATGAAAACTCTTTGCTATAGGTCATACTCGTTACTATATGGTAGTGAGTTTTTGGAGTTGTATCTACTGATTGTTTAAAAATGCTACTGGTAGTACACTTATAGTCACTTTTTATTTATTTCATATGATTATTGTATACCTTTCGTCTGTAGCTGAAGGTAAAGAATCACCATATAAACCTGTTGCTATAGACGTTTTATGACAGGTTTTTTTTCATTCAATGTGCGACGAAATGTGGTGTCATTGATGATAGGTTATGGTAATGTTGAATTGCGGTGACTATAACCGACGAAAAGTTATTGATATAGATCAAACTCGTCACTATATGGTAGAGAATTTTTGGAGTTGTATCTACTTATTTTGATAATCGTCACCAATTATACACTTATAGTCACTTTTATTTATTGTATATGACTATTGTGTACCTTTCGTTATCTGTTAGAAAGTAAAGAATCACCATAAAATAGTTTAAGTGACAAGGATATTCTTATAGAATGACTGTTATGTACATTTACTCACTCACAAGAAGTTCGACCGACACTATAAAATACTTATACACATGTTTATTCTGTACAATGACAAATGTTTACATGTACTCACCCACAAAAAAGTTAGATGTTCACCATAAAATACTTATAGTGAGATGGTTTTTTCCTACACATTGACAAACGTTTACATGTATTCACCCATGATACACATACAAAATACATGTATACATACAAATACACATATACATACATAAATTACATTTAAAATACACATATACATACAAATGCACATAGAAATACACATCCATATCTAAAAACACAAAATACACATACAAATACAGATCTAGAAAATAAAATTCCGGCTAGAACAGTCGTGACGGAATCCTCCTGCGAGAACGATGGGGGATCTCAAAATTTCGGCAACCAAAACAAACGTTGGAAATTTAGTAGGGGGAGAGAAAAGAAAAAGAAAAGCAGAAAAAACAAAGAAGAGGGGACAAATTGTGAAAATGTTGGTGAAATCCCGATGAGGTCGATGGTGGTGAGCAGAGAGAAGAAGGGAAAATATAGAATAAAGTGACGACGAAGAGGGTTTTATTGTTGACGCTTTTTTGGGGCGAAGCCTTTAGCGACGACATTTGAGGGAAAATAATGTGGGGTTTCCTACATCATTGGATCATCGATTAAATTGACGAATGGCGTTTAAATGACGCGGATCGCCAACAATAAGTCTTTAGCAGCATCGGGAACTCTTTGGCGGCAAAACACTGGAGGGAAAACAACTTGGGGTTTCCTACATCCTCCTATTCGTTGGATTAGGCTTAAATCGATAGATGAGGTTGAAATGACACAGATCGCGAACATAAGCATTTAGCGACGACACCTTTAACGGTGACGGACACTTTTAGCGGGGACAAAAGACGCATTTTTTTGTTGGTGTCGTTGATATTGTCGCTTATTCTTATATATATATATATATATATATATATATATATATATATATATATATATATATATATATATAATTTGCAAACCTAATTAACCAAATTCTACTTTTTTTTTTATTACGAATAATGGTGTTTTTAGTAGTTACACTCCTTATCCCATTCAATGTACAATAATTTATGGATTGTTTTTCTTGTGCTTTTGCCTTTCTTTATTAGTTTGAATATATGTATATCTCGATCATGTAACAACAATAGAAAAATACATGTTAAAATAATCATTGAAGCAAACACGCACAATTTATATGATTAATTAATAGAATCATTTTAAAAAATATATATGGTTTAATTAATGACTACAAAAACTAAGAATTTAAGCAAAAAAAAATACCTCATTATCAAGGATTACAATAATTTTTTCCCAAGCCACAAAATTACTTAGGGCATCATTTCCTGTTAATACTACTTTCTTAATCTTGTTTGCTACTTAGGCGGTTTGATTTATTACTTCATCGACTTGAACTCTATAGTAACTAGTCGGTAGTGGTTGTGCATGTATTTTTTATATTTTCTAGTTATGCTCCAGATAAGCTCCAGGTATGCTCTAGATACGCTCCAAAGACTTTCAAACTACTGCTATACTTCAAATTACCAAAAATAGACAACAAAACTTGAGTAATACAAGAATTTTAACGGAATACACGAGTTGAAAATTATTTAGACAAATGCATAGAAGGAAAAACATAAAATATGGTTCAAAATACTAATAAAAACTACTGTAAGTAATAGGAAGATTAAATATTATAAACAAAATGGAAAGATGTAGATGACCTAAGAGGAGCTACAATAAAAACTAAAAATAAAAATAAGGAAACAAAAAACACTTCACCCTTTTTATTCATTTTTTCTCTTTTCACATGATCAAACTTTACATCGAGGTAGCTCCAATGAAATCTTGAACTCAGACAATAGTGTCAATACCTTTATTGCAGTTTCAAAACTCATATTTAGTATGCTAAACCAATCTTTGAGTTTACGCCAAATTAAATTTGTAAAAACTTTGTATTTTTAAAAACAATTTCATAGAAATTTG